AGCTGGCTTTTTCAGAAAGGAGATGAAATCCTGTTTTGATTACAGATAATCAAAACTGTGGAGTTAAGAATAGAAACGGAATCTTTAGTGGAGAAGGACAAAGAAAGGACGACGATCATGATGCTGGTGATATAGGAACATATGAAGTATTTTAGACTAAACCAGGCTGCTGAATTCCTGTAACAGAGCAAACCTAGTTTGGGTTTACTAAATGTAATATTGAGGAACTATTCACCATCTCTCACAATTTAGGAGTAGTGGCATGATTAGAAATGACTAATCAAACCTGATAGTGCTAAAACAATTTGATGGATTGGGAAAATTCCTGAAGCAAATAATACCAAGGAAGCTCTATTGAAATACAAGATCCTTTTATGAGATTTGAGGAATCTAAAGCAGGCAAATGCCAAAGGTGTGTAAGTGGTCTTCACCTGGTGAGACCTGTGGTTAAACTGGAGGTGTGGGGAGGCTCAGGAGGTGTGATCTGTTTCACATAATGGGCAAGTCAGTTATGTAACTATCATAATGTAAATAAAAAAGCCTCTACCGAGTCTGTCAGGATTGTTAAACAGTGCAGCTATTCTGCAGCTCGATTCTGAAGAAAATTTTATTAGAGTCTTATATTAAGTTTCAAATTGAAATAAATATTTAATTGAATTACACAAAACGAGGAATCAAAGACCATGTCTGATTGTAATGCTCTCCAAGGGATCAGTTTAGTCACACATGCTCCACATAAAATGGAATACTGGTGACATTCTTAATGATAATTTTTAGTAATAAACACTGCTGAATGGGGTCTAAGGAAGACTACTTAAGCAGTATAGTTTTGGAAGGAATCAAAATTTGAGGTATGAAACAAAAAAGGGAGAAAATAAGAGAAGACCTGGTATTCTCAGAGACATATATCATTGTGGTATGTATTTGTTAAATCAGGAATATTAACATATAACATGTAGATTAAAATGTGGATCAACAAACAGGAAGGACTCACCTGAACTGAACTGTTCTACTGTTAGCCAGCAGTAGATCAAATGGACAGTGTGCTCACCTGATAGAAGCTCGACTTAATGCAAAAAGCAGAGAGCTCTGCTAACCGATGTTTGAAAGAAGCCTGGCTATGCCCCATTTAAAGTTTACTTCTGTTGCCTCATGTTTTCCGGGCAACATAAATTCAAGGAAGTGGAGCTTTGCTATCAAAAGTCTTACCATGTAGACTTTTATTATTTGGTCTATCCTTTCTATAAAAAATGCTCTCTCAGGAGAGTAGTCTACATTTAGGTCTTCAAATATTTAAGCATTCTCAAGAATCAGCAAATATGGGTAAATATTTATTGTGCTAATGTTTATGGTGCCAGGAAGATAAGTTTATGAACTTGGGTAAATTTTAATTGCCAAATGGGATAAAGTAGAATATATTTAATATATATCCGGTTTGAAAGGCCTATGTATTTCCTTTCCAAAAAAATATTTCTAAATGTTGATTGGGAGAGAGAAGAGTTTTATAAAGATAATAAAGTTAAATAGCAATTCAGCATGTTTAGAAGAGAGAAGGAATAGATTTTTATGTTTCTCATATTCATCTACAAAATTCATCTGTGCAGTTAGTCATTCAAGCATCACTGCTGAGGCTTATCAAATAAATAAGATGCCTTGGAAGGTACTGGGAATATAATGGTGAGCAAGGCCTAGTCCTGGCCTGAGCTCAAGGAATTTATGGTTGGGGATATGGGGCTGGCAAATAAACCTGTCCTTGCAAAAAGAAATAATTGCTGCTCACCAAATAAATGTTGACAAATGCTGCTCCAAAGGTTTCCTTAAACCAGTGATTGCCAACCTTTTGGACCACCAGATGGCGATGGCTGGTCCAGAGCATGGGATGCGGTGAGTAATGGGGAGGTGATTAGAGAATGGTCTAAGCAGTAGGCCTTCCATATTCACCATAGAGGCTTGCGAGATTAGGATGAAAACCTATTTTATCCCTTAGAATCCTAGTACAACTTGTAAACATACAGTGAAGAAATCCTCTTGCTGAAAAGACAGTCTTCACTTTAGTAAAAATGGACTTGAAGTACCTCCCCAAGGTCTCCACTTAACTCAGTCACTTCCCAATATTTTGAGTTACAGTCCCCACACATTTTTACTTAACACTTGGGACATGTTCGCAGTCCTGGCAGTGTGAGTGCTGGTCCCTGTGGACACCATATGCCCGTGCCCCGGCCCGAAAGCAGAGTGATTCAGCGGGAGGCTGCTTTCCGCTCTACTCCGATTCCACTCTGGACAGGACTCTGTCCCTGTCCTGGGCCATCTTCAAGCATTAGCCTGGTCTCCCTGCCCACATCTTGCTACCATTCTCTGTCATGTTTCTGCATGAAACAAAGCCATGCTGTGAAGATTCCAACGGGGACAGCGGGGAGACGTTTGGGCTGGGAAGGTGGGTGGGCTACACAGCACTGAGGGATGAGGCGGTGCTGCTTGCAAAAGGACAGTTCCTCTCACCTGTCCCAGGTGCATTTCCAAGGACTTGGGAGAACAGGAACACATCACAGAAACATAATAGCAAAAATGTAACAATATAGTCTTTCAATCATATCTAAAAATAGAGTAGGAAGTAAAATCCTCTTACCATAATATGTAAGATACTCTGCTGTGTGTAAAAATGTCAGTGAAACCAGAACATTGAAAATCCAATTTATTCCCGATGAACATGCATTTCCTGTACTTCTTGCCCAAAGAGGATATATTTCAGAATTCACAGTCCAAGGCATTGGTCCCATTCCTGAGAAATACAAATTTTTAAATTTCAGTAAAGCAATATGTAAGGATTTTTTTTTAAAGAGGAGACAATTTAATAAACACAACAATGACAATGAAGGCTTGCTTACCAGGTGCGAAGAAAACGAGATATAAAATAAGGCCCAGAAGTGCAGTCCAAGAATATGGAGTAGGGCAGAAGTTATATGCCCAAAATACTTCTTCTGTTTTGAATTTGGTTTCATTTTCACACCTGAAAAATAATGCAATATAAATATTTAACTTGGTGTTTTAGGACATAGTTGTAGAAATTTAATGTCATCACCTACGACATATTTGGAATTTCCTTAACATAATTAAAGAAAAAGGTCCAATGTTTTTCTTGAAAAAAATTAAGATTTAAATATTAAATGCAAGCTCACATAGAAGTGAATATAATTCAAGAGCATCACATAGAAATACTCTGTGCATACAACTCATAGCAGAAGAACCCCGAACAATCCAATTAAAAAATGGGCAGAGGATCTGAATATGCACATTACAAAGAAGACATAAGATGGCCAGTAGGTACATGAAAAGGTATCCATCTGTGTTTAAATCCTCTATACGTTTTAAGTCCAAGTAAAGAAAAATAGCTAAGAATTTGAGCTCTGGGACTGACATCTTATGTTCAAATCTAGGTTGAGACCCCAGACTTGAAGCTAGGATGTGTGTGATACAGGCACTTACCTTTACAAAGCCTGTGTCCTCATCTGTGAACCAAGGATTCTCCTGTTACCTACCTCAAAGAGGTGTTTTGAGGTTTACATGAGATAAGGTATCAAAGAACTTCATGTGGGATAGGAAGAAATCATTTTATTTCTCAGACATATTTTTTAAAAAGATATATTGATTTCAGAGAGGAAGGGAGAGTGAGAATCATTGATCAGCTGCCTCCTGTACACTCCACACTGGGGATTGAACCCACAACCCGGGCATATGCCCTGACCAGGAATCAAACCCCGACCTCCTGGTTCATAAGTCAACACTTAACCAGTGCACCATGCTGGCTGGGCCAGAGACGTAATTGTTGAAACAAAGTCTTCCTATTTGCATTAATACCACCTCAGTTCACACTTCTGAGTATGTCATCAACTACATTTGTCTGTCACCAGAGCAGCCTCTAAGATCTGTGTTTTCTGATGTTCATGGTCTTGGACAGTCCTCTCCCCTTGAGTGTGGGAGTGACTTGTGACTGACTTCTGACAGAATGTGGAAAGGTGACAGGACACAGGTGATTAGATAGGCGGGTTATAGTTTAGCTGAAGTGTCTCACTTCCTTGCTGGCACTGAAAGGCAGGCCAGCGTGTGTGGATCCCAGTGTGGGTGCTCATGGAGAAACAGTCTGCAGGAGCTGAGATAGCCGTGGGTGGGCAGCTAGCAAGAAGCTGAAGTCCTTGTATAGAAGTTACTGAATTCTGCCAACAAAAGCTGATCTTTCCTACTTGAGCCTCAGATGAAACTACTAAGGATTCTCCTGGTACCTACCTCAGAAATAAAACCCAGTGAACACGTTGATTACAGACTTAGACCCTACGGTGAGAACCTAGTTAAGCAGTGCCTGGACTCCTGGTGCAGAAACAATGACAGAATACATGTGCTGTTTTAAGCTGCTAAGTTTGTGGTAATACTGTTACGCTGCCATAAAAAAATACAGTCTCCTAATTATTCTTCCTGCTTCTAGCATTCCTTTCTTCAAACTATGCCTCATTAAGTTGTGCCCTCTAGAGCTCTTGCCACAAAGCTGCTCAACCACCCCGCCCCCCTTTATCCCAACTGCCTGTGAAATGGGGCTGGCAAAACCTGGCTGCAGCCTGTGCAGATCCCCTTCTCCAACTGCACTAGACTACGTATTTCCTCAACCTGCTGTCCAGCCCCAGCGGCTACTCACCTCATATCCTCTCTGAAAGGAAAACTCACTCCCGATCAGCACCGTCAAAATCGGCCCTCAGGACTAATACAGATGCCGCCTACTCACCTGTCATGGTCTTAGTCATCAGCTGTCTGCGTACCACTGAGTGTGCGCCTCCCTCTCAGTGCCTTCCATTTTCCTCATTCATACAGTCACCACCCAGTGCTCTGCATTATCCTATCCTGGGCTCTGATCCCAGGCAGCACAGCACCAGGGTTAAGGCCACAGGGTCTGGAATCCGGCTGCATGGTTTTGTGTCTTGGTTTGGCCACTATCAGCAGCAAGAGTTCCTAATAGACTTGTCTCAGAGATTAAATACAGTGTTAACTGCTCTGCACAAAGACAGCAATTTATTTAAGTTTTGCCAAAAGAATAGTCATTTTGTATCCCCGCTTTCTTAAATCTCAACCTTTAGTCCCATGGTTGGCAAACTGCGGCTTGCGAGCCACATGCGGCTCTTGGGCCCCTTGAGTGTGGCTCTTCCTAAGCCTTAGGAGTACCCTAATTAAGTTAATAACAATGTACCTACCTATATAGTTTGAGTTTAAAAATTTGGCTCTCAAAAGAAATTTCAATCGTCATACTGTTGATATTTGGCTCTGTTGACTAATGAGTTTGCCGACCACTGGGCTAGTCCATCTGAGTTCTCTATAGATGTAAGTGGCCACTGAATGATGACTGAAGCCTTCACATTTGCATTCAGCTTTGAGTAGAAAACAGCATCAGAAATCTCCTGATTAATTACCTTCCACCTTCATTTCCAAACAAAGAGTCTTCTGAGTTATGAAGATATTAAAATGAGAAAAGAAGAAAGAAGGGGGTGGGGAAGGGAAAGGGAGGGAAGGGAAACAAGGGGAGAGGCCAGGTGGGGAAAAAGCGAAAAAGAAAGGTAGGCTTCTAGGGAGGGAATGCTTACAAACAAGCAAATCACTACAATTCACTGAACAATTCTCCTTACTGTTTTCATTCATTATTATTTCATTATTCCTTGCCTGACCTCTTGCGGGAATGATGGGAAGTAGCACATTTTCAGGTAAGCTCTGTGCTTGCTCTGATGTGGCTTTTCACTATCTGGCCACATATATACACATGTTTATATGCGTAAAAGGCCTAGGAACTCATCCTCATGCTGATGTTAAAAGAACTGCAGGTGCTGACCTGAGAGGGGTGCACACTCTGTGGTGCGCAGACAGTTGATGACTAAGCCTGTGACATCACCCCTGACCTTCAAAATAGAAACACTAGAAATCTCAACTGAAAAAAAATGTATATTCCAAATGTTACTGCAAAATACCCACATGTTTGCCCAGCTTAGCGACCACAATATGCTGTATAGAATGTGTGAGACATCATGCTGGGACCTGAGGGTAGGGGTCCCTCCCTAGGAATGGCAGAGGAGTGAGTTTGCCTATGACACTGAGGAATTC